ATCAAAATTACTGTTGAAACGTTGACTGACGATTTTATAGACGGAATTAAAGGCTTGGGACCAACGCTGCAACTACATATAAATGTTTAGGACTTCGAGAGCAAAAATAAAAGGCTTGGCTGTAATCTGCAACAAAATAAAAGGTTTGGGACCACGATCGCAATTTTCACTTCACTTTTTGTTCTCTGTTTTGAGTCTATTTTAAAATTGTTAAAAATGCATTTGGTTGTCATGTTGAAAAATTATTACTCAAAATAGAAAGCTAGACAACATGTTTGATTTGAAAATTTGGAAGATTGTTTTGACATTTTATTCCATGAATTTGATTATTTAATAAAAAATAGAATAGTTTTATGTTAATATATTATCAAGTAACATATACATTTTAAAATTAGTGAATTTTATAATATTTTTTTCTTGCTGCAAAAGTAAAATAAAAATAAATAATAAATTGAGTTCAAAATATAAAAATGAAAATTAATGATCTAGAATCAAAATATTTTTATTTGTGTTCATTTAAATATATATTTTAGATCTTTTTATGTAAAGTTTGAGATATTTTTTTTTTAAATTTTAAATTTTAGTATTTAGAATTTAATATTTATTTTTATAAAATTTTATTGAAACAAAATATTATTTAAATGATTGTTTTCCATCCAACTGCTTTAAGAACCTCAACTAGCAATCTGATCTGCCCAATATTTACCTGTTAGAATAGATACGAGATGCTTACAAATGACACTACCAATCTAATTAATTGATTAAATAGTGGATCCAAATCAACGATTTTAAAATTGTGATTAATATCCGATTGAGCGGGTTGATTTTTTTGTTTATCCCCGATAACAGTCTAACAGAGATAATTTTATACCCTAAAAAACTATCGGGACGCAATTTGAGCCAATTCCCATTTGGAATCAACTCGATTAAACAATGTTTGCCCTAGGATTATATGTAAACAACATGGACAGTTTTTTTTTTTTTTTTAATATCTATATTTAAATCAAAAAAAATACTTCTTGTCCATAACTAATCAAATCGTATAATACGGTTTGAGAAAGATTCAAACCCAAATATTTAATTTAAAACTGCGATATAAAAATTATAACAATAATAATACTTATTTAAACATGCTAGCAATATAACATGATAATTTTTTTATAGACATCAATTAATTTATAAATAAAGATATAAGTCAAATTATTTTATCCAATTACGTTATCACGTGTTTCATTAATCTGGTGAAATTAGATGCCAAAATTTCATCATCTAGCGGTCTGTCCACATATGTTTGATGCTAAAATTAAATTCAAATCAACTTATAAACAACTTATAATAGAATAGTTGATTTCGTTATGAGTTCGAGACACAGTATGGTATAATATTGAAAGGGTAATTTCGAAATTAGGGTTCTATATAATTACAATCTTGTGTAACACTATTCGGAGTTAGTTAATTATTTGTACCTACAATGGACGTAGACATACTGTCGAAGAATTTAACATTCTGTGTGTCGATAGACAATTGGCTGAATCCTGTGAAACTATTTTTCATTGATATCTTCTTTTTATAAAAATCTTATTGTTTTTCTTTTTCTTTTTTCGACTTTAGTGTTCACGTTTACACAACACAAATAATATTTAGTAGTGTAAAAATAAAATAAAAGAACAAAATATTGTAAGGGACCAATGACTAAATTGAGACATTAAGTGTGTGATTTTTAAGGATTTGATTTCATTTTTTTATTTTTTTTGGTTTCAAATCGCTTTTAAAATATTAAAATCTAAACCAAATCTTTTTTGGCGATGATTTTTGTTTAGTTTGAGGATTTGGTGGTTTTTTCTTACATCTGCGCTGTCAATGGGCCGAGCCGAGCCGGCTCGGCCCTTTAAGCCACGAGCTCGGCTCGGGCTAGTGGAGAAACGAGCCATGAGTGGCTTGGCTCGTGAGCTCGTGGCTCGTTTGCTCGTGGGCGAGCTCGGCTTGTGGCTCGTCAAATTTTTTTTTTTATTTTTCTTAGTTATTTTTTATTTTTTAAATGTTCCTCTTAACGAGCAGAGCCGAGCCGAGCTCGGCTCGTCTACGTACCGGTCCGCTAGGCTCGAGCTTGGGCTCGTCTTTTGACGAGCTCGAGCTGTCGAGCCGACGAGCCGCTTGGCTCGATTGACATCTCTATGCGCCATCACTTATAAGTAATTTTTCATAAATAATAAGAAAAGGAAAGTGTTGATAAGTGTTTTTGGTTTCCTTTTCAAAATCCACAAAAAAAAAGGAAAGAGAGAAAAATTGACAGCTTTGAATGGAATCCCACAATAAGACTCGAATTTGCCTTTTTAGATGGCCGATATGGAATGCAATATTTAAAGATTCTGTTGGTAAATAATCAATTAAATAAGGTAAATTGATTATGGATATATACTATGTTTTGCAAATTATAAGCAGCTTCTACATATAAATAAGAACTAAGAGAGAGATAATTAAAGAATTAATTCATTGTTTCTGAATCTGAACTTGTGTTCTTTAAGGATCCATTTAAGGGTATGCTTCTTTTCTTATAGAAACCTTGTAGATTTCTGCTTTTATTAACTTTTTGTATGAATTGCTTCAATGATTGCAGGGATTTATTGCTTTTTAATGAGTTTTTCAGTACTTTAATCAATAGAACTGAACTTTATTTAAATTTGTATAAAAATCATACATGGGAATTGAATGTATCGTATTAGAACCGACTAGTTTGGCTCGATTTTGAATTTTTAATATTTCTTTTGATTATTTATTGTCATTTGTGATCTTAGTCACTTCGTGTGCCCATTGGGCGGCAGCCATTTCGGGATTCCTTAGGGAGCGATTCACTCTGCGTAGATTGTCTAAACGTAGAAAACCTTTCATTGGCATGTGATCGTATTTATCATAGGATTTCTCATTACTCATGTTAGAATTTATTAACCGCTAAAATCTTATCTATTGTATGTTGTGACAGGATGGGACGCGCAAAATTGAACATGGAACTGATAAGCAAGGAGAAATCGAGAAACATAACATTCAAGAAAAGAAAGGAGGGTTTGATGAGGAAAATGCATGAATTCACCACCTTGTGTGATGTTAGTGCATGCATGATCATCTATCCACCTAAACAAGACAAGAACACAGATGAGCCAGAAATATGGCCTCAAAATCTCGAAGAAATCCGACGAATAATCGACATATACAAGAACAAGAACAAGAACAAAGAGTCTGGGAACAAAATGTTTGGCCTGTCGGATTTTTTTCACGATCGGAAGAGAAAAATCAAAGAAGAGCTTGCGAAATTGCGGAAAAGGAACATGGAA